GTGCAGCATCCACCTGGATGATGTGACGGCAGCCATAGTGCGCCATTAAGCCAATAAGTAGATATGGGCATTGTTAGGAGACCATGATGATCAGAGGCCAATAGGCAAATTTGGCCAGGATTCCGAGGTTACACCTCTACACTTTTCGAAAGACATCCTGGGATTTTTAATGACCACAGAGAGTCAGGACCTCGGTTTAACGTCTCATCCGAAGGACGGTGCTTGTTGACAGTATAGTGTCCCCATCACTATACTGGGGCGTTAGGACCCACACAGACCACAGGGTGAGCACCCCCTGCTGGCCTCACTAACACCTCTACCAGCAGCAACCTAGTTTTCCCAGGAGGTCTCCCATCCAGGTACTGACCAGGCTCAGCCCTGCTTAGCTTCAGTGGGTAACCAGTCTTGGGCTACAGGGTGATATCGCTGCCAGAACAGATTCTGCTGAAGCATCTATTGTTTACATGTTCTCTGGGAACCTCCACATATCACATCATTCTGCACAGCCTTACCCAGTATCTCATAAACGAAGGACGAGACCTTAGTTTACCTTGAATTCAGTATGGAGTGTCAGGCTAACATGAGCTGATGCAGGCGGTCCTTGATTTAAAATAAAGACTAAATTGGTGAAACTGATATGCATTTGCCTGTGTGGTCCATAGCAATGACACATGCTTAATGAGACCTTCAGGATGCATTTAGTGACACAGCTGCTTGTGTTGAAACTGGTGAGAGCAGTCATTAACTGTCAAATATTAGAAAATCTCATTCACTCTAAGTATTTTGAAGCGTGACAGCTGGACTTTTTATCTCCATTTATCTGTGGCCCTACTGGTCACCTTACTCATGCCCTGCTGTAACTGTTTACTAGAGACATACAGGTGATGTTAGATTTTGATGCTAATTATAATGAGTTTTTTTTATTCCCATCCTATGCAGAAATGATATATGAAAAAATCTTTTTGCATTATGAAACTCGTCCACTGTGGTCAAGTTTATATAGCTTTGGTGATGTTATAGTGAAATGCTGTTGTCTTTTTACTGGGGTATTTTATTTAGGTGCCTAGCAACGCTCGGACTCTCTCCCGTCTTTGTCGTAAAATGACTGATGATTGAATTCTTTCATTTACAACAAGTAAATATCACAAGCTGTTGCTACAGCAGTCAAACCTGAGCGTAAAAGTTCAACCTACACCAGGGGTATCCAAATTTTTTTTAAAAGGGGGCGAGATTCGATGATGTGAACACACACACACACACACACATATATATATATATATATATCAAATTGTTATCACTCGCGTTTTACTGCTACATCTGGCCTAAAATTTAGTGCTGTCACCTTGTGTTGACATTGTGAAACTGCATTATTTGTAAATTATGCTTGCTGGGCCACTTATAATATATTTTAATAGACAAGCTGCGGGCCGTTTGAAATTCATCCACGGCTGCATTTGGCCCGCGGGCCAGACTTTGGACACCCCTGACCTACACCAACACGTGGCTTCACTTGGCATTCAGGGCCGAGGTGTCTGTATTCTTTCCTGAGACTTTAATACTTTCATTGACTTTAATACTTTAATTTCATGCTGAAGCAAAATCTGAGCATGAACAAGTACATGATGGAATGGAAGGTAAAACAAAAAAGTATAAATCATTGTTACCACCATTCAAAAGTTTTAAGTCACTACGATTTTTTAAAAAGAAATGAATACTTAATATTTTGCAAGGGTGCATTCAGTTGATCAAAAGTGAAAGTAAAATATGTAATGTTACAAATATTTATATTTTAAATAAATGAAATAAATTCATTTGAACTTTCTGTTCATCATATAATACTGAAAAAATTTAACAGTTTTTACAAACATATTAAACAGCGCAACTGCTTTTAACATTAATAAGTAGAAATGTTTCTTGAGCAACAAATCAGAATGATTTCTGAAGGATCATGTGACACTGAAGACTGGAGTGATGGCTGCTGAAAATTCAGCTTTGCCATCACATGAATAAATTACATTTTAGAATATAATATAATAGACAACAGTTATTTTGAATTAATAAGTCATAATATTTCAAAATATTACGGTAACACTTTAGTTAGCATATCACTAGCATGCTGGCTGCTTAGTATAAAGCACATATTAATGCCTTATTCTGCATGACCATATTTTAGATCCCTTAATCCTGCCCCATGCCTAAACTTAACAACTACCTTACTAACTATTAATAGGCAGCAAATTAGGAGTTTATTGGGGCAAAAGTCATAGTCAATAGTTAGTTAATAGTGAGAATTAAAGTGTGGCCTATACTACTGATTTTACTGTATTTTCACAAGGTATTCACAATGGATTATGTGAGTTCATATACTTAAGTGAAACAGACTATTTCATGCTTTGAAATGACAACTTTTTGTGTAAAAATTAAAACTGATTAGTCATTGATTATTTTGCATGTAGAGTGGACACAAAAACCTCTGATGTGTCTAGGTGGTCTTGCATCCCAGATTATTGAAATTAAGATTAAAAGTGAATAAAGTCTAAATCCCTTGTCTCTGAGAGTCTTTGCACACTTCTTAGGAGTTAGAGAAAGAATAGCTCTTAAAAATAGGCCAAACAAAAGGCAAGTCTTAGCAACTTCTGCTGAAAATGAAGCATGCATTAGTTGTTGAGATTCAGCACTGGCCTCCATATATGTATTTCTTTTACATTCCGTACTTCATTTTTTACACCATGACATTATTATTGTCACCCTTATAATCCTTTTGCATGGTGGACACCGTGAGCTTCTCCATATAATGGTGTTTGTTTTAAACCAAACTAAACCCGCTTTCCATTAGACCTGGTCTTTTTATATCAGTCACTCAAACAATGGCTCTAATTACGCTTGCTCTCGACACAAAAGCACGAATGCAGACTGGAGTAGGGAGGTCTGATCCGAGCA